AACAAGTGGGAGATTGTTGAGAAATTGTTCAAAAATCAAAAGGTGTGGTGTTTGGAATGAAAGGGAGAAAAAACGGATGAAGGCCAAAAAAAATTTGGCCCGTGCGGCTGCACGGCTCTCTCCAGGGAATTAAATCCCCTGTTTAATATAACCATGTGGCCACACGGTATTAATTTGTCACCGTTTTTTCCCCTTTTTAGCCGTTGCCAATTCAAACTTGGTGATTTTTTGGCTCATGTTTTGGCACCTTTTCATGCATTTGAGGCTTGCCTATAAATAGTGGATCCCTATTGAAGGCAAATTTAATTGAAAAACATTTGAGAAATATTATCATTCCAAAACAAAGATCAAATTCTGATTTTATTCATATTCAAAAAACCCTCATTGTGTTCTTCAAGTTTTGGGAGATAACACTTGTGCTTTGGTGTTAATCTCTTACAAGGCTTGTTATAATTTTACAAACCATTTGCCGGTAATCCCTTGAAGCATCCCATACAAAGGAGAGGAGGCAAATACAGTTTGAGGCAGCGATATCGTGTTCAAGCCTTGGTGTTACATTAATTTGTCCGTGATCGCTTTGTTCCAGATTTGTTGTAGTATTTTATTGCTGGTTATTAGTTGTTATTCTTCTCCTCTCTTCATCAATTTCCAACAGAACATATACCGAAAAGTTGACAACCAATATTCAGTTCTTCAAACCTGCTAAGATCTTGGCTGCCTAAGCTTCATTCAGCTTGCCTGGCCGAGACTAAATCATTTTCTACCACTTGCAACGTGTCAGAACAAACGGGTTGATTTGACCTTTTCATGATGCATATTATGCACGAAAAACAGCAGAATAAGACGAACCTTCTTCCATATGTACGTGTGCTTTTAGTTAAATAAAGAAAAGGAGGTAGCTTAATTCATACTTTCTGAATATCTGGCTCAATAGAATAAGGAAGTGACTGCGTGGAAGCCAAGTACCATCTCCATGCATATCTTCGTCCACTTCTTGGTGAATTTACCTAGGATGGTTGAAAAGGAAGAACTACTTCAGCAACCAGGAGGTTTGATTTCCTCTCAAAAAGGATCAACAGTTGAACATCTGGGACTCCATCAAGCTTTTTAGCACTCTAGCATTTTCAACTCCAGTTGAGTTTAGGGTCCCGGCTTCTAATTTAGTCTCATCCATAGTTACGTAAGAACCTTCAGCTAGCTGTAGAATGCTGGACACCAGCCTATAGAATGGATGGTGTAAATTAACATGATATGTCATCAATATTATAGTCTCAGGCCAAATAAATAACTAGATAAGAAAACGATTCTGTAGTTGCCAAACTTAGCCCCTGTTTGGAAACCATTAAAATGAGTTTTTTTTTTTTTTTTTTGGGTTTTGAAATGATGATTTTTTTTATATAGAATATATGATTAAAAATTAGAAAAAAAACGTTTAGGTTTACTTGTAGAATATTTTATTATGAGAATGTATGGTTGAAATGAATTTGAGAAGAAAATAGAATTTTGTTTTAATGATTTGTCAAACATGAGCTTAATTGAGTGATTACCTTTTTGTACTGTAATCCTTTTTTGGGGAAAGTGAAACAATGTAGAGATAATCTATTGCGAGAGGCAAATAATGCGTGAAGGGTAGAAGGTCCTCTATTGCAAGTTTAAGACGATTGGCAAAAACAGACGCGCTCTCCTTGTTAAAGCAAGATTTAGTAACAGCTTACCAACAGTTTTGATTTTACACCTCTGTTAGTGGAGGCCTTTAATCGGATTGTGATGCGTGCATTGTGGTGATCGTTTGATTAAGCTCTAGACCCTTCTAGCTTTATATTCTCACGGTGACTCTTTGACTAGCAGATGAGAGATTTTCTTAGGTTGCTATTCGTCTCCTCCTCTCCCTCTTCTCTGTGAGAACTCCTCATTCTTCGTGATTAGGGTTCGAGATTTTGAGTGTTCCTAGTAACTAATCTTAGTGAGGAACTTGTAATACTCTAGATCCACATACTGCCGTACTGTGTTGTGTGTTTGTGTACAAGAATCTGAGTGATTTGTGTAAGTAGTAGGGATTCTCGAAAGATATGAGTGACCTCTTTCGAGTTCTTGGTAGAGAGTATTCTGATTCTTGGTTCTTTCAAGAGATAAATCTTTGTGGCTTGATCTTTGTAATTTTCTAGAACATATTGTACATTCTCGTTGTCGATTTTTTGGCTTTATAGTGCAAGCGAGCTTAATCCATTTATAATGGATACTCAACAGGAGATTAGGCGTTAGATGCAGTCATCAAATCTCTGGGGTTACGATCGAAAAAATTCTTGTATTGATTTTCATTTTCTGCACTTCACTTTACTGTTTTGTTGTTTGGATTTTAAATCTTGGTTAATCTTTAAGTGTTTCTCGACTTTTTAGCCTCCATTTTCGAAGAGAAAGTCATGGAAGAGATCAACCGCCCCCCAATCCTTGCCATCAAGTGGCAAGATCAGATCCTGAAGCCATTGCCTTCTCAAACGTCAATCGTACGGCTCCCAATTGGTTTGATAGACAATCGGGCACAGAGCGAGCACCCGACGAGGGAGAGCGGCCGCACGTGCTGGATCCGTCGGAGTCTTAAGAACCGCCGGGTAGCAAATGGCAGAGTTGCAGAGCCGACCGGAGAGGAGACGAATATGACAGACAATGAAGAGATCCCATTTTTTTTTTTGGGCCCGAACAGCTGAAGCCTAATTGATTAAGGTAATGGCTCAATTTTGATTAGCCCAAATGCCCAATTTTCATTAATAATTGGAATTGGCCCAAAGCCCCAAGCCATGTTGTTGTCTGCTGATTACTGAAAGCCTTAAACCACATTTTACAAAGGCATCGGGCAACAAAGGGCGAAAGAGAGAAATTCCCAAATCCAATCCTCAAATCGTGAAAGAGAAAGCAAAACCCTATTGCAAAACCCTATTCTAGTGAATGTTGTAAAGCTTGTAAAGCCATGTGTACTGGAAATGATGGGCCTTGTCTTTTTGATACCTGGTTTTTTTTTTTTTTTTTTTTTTTTTTTTGTGGGAATAAGCAGGTTTGTGGGAACAGATTCGGTGAGGTTAGTTGGAATTTATTTCCTTTTTGTTTTAATTTCTATCTATAATCTTTTATGTACTTGATTGGTAGAGGACGGATATGGCTATGTGTCAAATAAATTTGATTTCTCTTACTGTTTGTGCTAGTTGCAGAATTGGAAAACTTAGTTGTATAATATAGTGACGGAGAAATTACAATTTTACGAAAAAATGTAATTATAGTTGAGAACCAAATACGTAGATAGTAAGCACGAGACATTAATGTAGATTCAAGTTCTATATGACTAGAACATTCGAGACTCATGACCTGTATTCCAAGACTAATTAGCCAACTAAAAATTGTGTTTCTGTGAAGTTAAAATTAATGTGCACTATATATTGAGCTCAAAGCTTTGTGCTAATTACATGTTTCTTTGATAAATAAGAAACTTTTAGCAAGGAAATAGGAGAATTGTTGTGTGCACGCATTAGTGCATGTATAATTTTTACGTTTTGGTACACTTACATTAAAGTGGAAGAATTTTTAATATTATTTAATTAAGTATTAACAAATAAACTTGCAACGGTCAAATATCAATGGCCAACAGTCCGCCTAGCTGACATTGCAGACAATCATACTGTAGCCCCTACCATTATTGATTTTCAATGCTTCACTCATGCGCTAGGATTTGTAGAAAGGGCTATGCTATGGGTACATAACCCGGAACCCCTCTAATAGGGGGGGCTCCATGTGTCCATTTTGGACACCATTATGGATCCCCCTATGTATAAGAAGATTAACCCTTGTAGAAATGGAGAAAAAACTGATGGGATGGTTTCCCGCTATGAGCATTGAGTTGCTGTACACATTGTGTAGGCATATGTATACATTTCCCGCCAAGTGCTGATGGTAATAAGTTTTCCTGCCGTTTTGCTACCATGTTGATGTTGGGATAGGATTAGAAGTGAAAATTGTTGAGAAAAATAAATTATGGATGCCTTTCAAGAATGTCAATTAAAAAGTTGAAAGAAAGAAAAATTATCTGTCAATCCGAGACTCGTGACAAAATATTTACTAAAAAATTGTCCATTGGTTACCTTTGCGACCTCTTTGAACAATTACATTCAAGATATAACGATCAAATCATTTGTGCAATAATTACAATAGATTTCTAAACTATCAAGTTTTTAATATTCACATGGAATATGACCTCCCATACAAATTTCACATTTTTTTATCACACAATCATCTATCCAACTACTTACTTCACATAATATATTTGATATATATTTAACAAAATATATGAAATACCATCGACCCTGAAAATGAATCTAGGTCGAATGCAAAAAAAAAAAATTAATTTTGGGGTGAATTAGCTGATATGATTTTCATTTTTGTGATTTATTATATTAATAACACAATGAGTTTCAATTGGTTCATGTTTTTTTCGTACGAACTGGCTGATTGAATCCAATTTGACAATATTGTGGGGATAATTATTATATTGTATATAAGGTTTAAATCACGAACGAGATAATAGATGTAATAAATGCCTTATGGTTCTAATATTAAGACTTGATGTTATGGTGAGATAGATGTCTATATAAATACGTTACAACATGTCACACTAAAATAAATAGTTATATATATATATACTTACAAATTTTATTTCATATCTCATTTTTAGCCTTTGTTTGATATAAATTAATCAAATCAAAATTAATAATTAATTTTAATCAAACATTTTGCAAGATCCACAACTTTTCAAACGTCTTTTCATGAACTTTTATAAAAAATTTAATATTAATCTACATCAGACAGGTCTTAACCGTGTTTAATATACAAACATGTTCTTTCAGAATTATAATCGAGTGTATATAATTTGACGAGGCATTCAAATGTTTCTACAACTCATTTTATCCAAGCTAACCACACCATATCACGACTTATAAATTTATAGTAGTTCAATCTCATTGCAAGAGCTACGTTACTATCCAATTCAAATTTTCCACCAGAAAAGAGAATATTACAAGATCTTTTTCACACCTCTCACCTACTCAAAATTCACTCCACAAAATCCTTCATGAGTAAGAATATGGGGGCTACCAATTATATTAAGCTTCACAAAGGGAAGAGGAAAGAAAGTAGACAGGCACCAACTATAGGGCTATATGAAGACCCTTTTGAAGGAAATTTTCTATAAATTTTGCAAAATCAGATTTCTTGTACATTAAACATCACTACACTATATAAGAGGAGCAATAGCAATACTTCAAGTCATTGCTTACACAACATAAACCATGCCAACCTCAAGGAGAGATGCTGGAGGCACCTTTAGAGCCACATCTGGCCCCCTGCAATTCCTTCTGAGGAAATTATAAGCAAAATTAATGGCCAGCCTCTTTAAGAGAGAAGATCGTTGTTTTGCCCTTACATGTGAGTGTCCAAGAATGAACGCAGTTCCAGCTTGTTGAGCTGCATACAAATCTTGTACCTCCTCCTGCAGTCGAACATCTGTTTCTGATTGTGTATCGGTCTCCAACTCGTTATCAATCGCGAACCTCACTCGTCGTTCTGCAACACTGACAGGCTCCATTTCGATTGCATCTGATGTACTGTCGGTTGTCGGGAACCTGATGGACACGCTTGCTGGTTGTATGCTTCCCTCAATATCGAATGCAGGTAAGCCAGAGAATGTCACTGTTCCTATCACGGCCAATCTGCACTCACTCGATGATGAGCCGGATCGAGAACCATCATCCTCATTGCATACATCTGCAATGCCATGTGACTTGTACCAATCATAGCGGATGAAATTAGCCAGCCTATTAATAAGTTCAGATTCGAAAGAGTCAACATCCTGGTGAACATCCCGGTATCCATAGCGGACAATGCACCTATACGAGCGATGAGCTGGAGGGCCCACACGGCCCACAAGGTATCGCTCATCTGGGGGAACAAACGGTACTGGAACTGATTTTATACAAACGAATACAAGGACACGGTGGAAAGCAGGGAGATTGGTGACAAAACGAGAAAAGTTGGCAGGGATACCCGACGTGAGATCAGTGAACACGAGGCCAATGCCAGGCACCCGAGCAATGCCTAAGCTCGGACCTAAGGCTAATAGCCATTCTAACGAAACCTTATTGTGGAGGTCGTACTCATATTTCTTAATGGTTGCATAGTGCCAAACAAACATGACAGTGACAAGGAATAGCGCAAGGAGGATGGGAAGCCAAGCACCTTCAAGGAACTTTATCAGGGAAGCTGAGAAGTACAGCAATTCAATGGATCCAAAGAAAAGCAAAAAGCATAGGGCCACAATCGGAGGTTTGTGCCAACAGAGGATAATGACCAATGATGTGAGGCAAGTAGTCACCAGCATCACTGCCATTACAGCCAAACCTGAAATTCAAACATAACTTTCAGAATACCTTTTATGATGTTATGAATATGTTGCTATGCAATACTAGACATGACTCGACAATACAGTGAACAATATTCTAAGTTCTTTTTCTTCTTTGACACTTTCATATGTTGCTGAGTCCTCCTCACCAAACATGTATAAGTCCAAGGGTTACACTGCAGTTACATAAAGAGGAAGGCTGCCTAGTAAAATCAGCTCGTTTCAGAAATGCCCCAAGTTGATTCTAATGATCATCAACTTCATGGTTTATTGCAAGAAGAGTCAAGTTGTGTGTGTCCTACCTGACGCGTTTCCCATGTGTTTTGTGTCTCGAAATCCAATAGTTACTGCAATGCAGAGAATCATTAGTGTCCAGTTGATCTCAGGGATGTATATCTGGCCATGTATCTTATCAGAGGTGTGAACAACTTTGACCCTTGGAAAACAACCAAGCGACTGGCTCTGGTTAATTATAGAGAACGTTCCACTGATTATCGCCTGACTTCCAACCACGGAAGCAAGTATTGCTACCACGAGTACTGGCCATCTCACACTTTCTGTAGCAAAACATTGGGAGACAACAGTATTAACATTATAAGCATAAAATTCAACTATATTGCAGTCATAAATGTGTAAGTTGCAGTCATAAATGAGTAAGGATGGACTTTGCTTTTGATCAAGATGTTACGTGATTAATTTTGACTCCAATCTCGTTTAAAAAATTAAAATCCAAGGAAAGCTGAAAAATGACCCTTTCATGATATAAACAAGGTAGATCTTTCTGGTGTCTATAGTTGCATTTGCAGTGACAAAGTCATACCAGGAACTGAGACATAGAATCCAATCTTATGAATGGTGTGGTGATGCCTTGACAAGTAAGCTGCTTGACCCATATAAGCCAATATGAGTGCTGGATAGACCAAAAAGGTGAAAGCAATCTGCAGTGGAAGATGGGGACAATAATTTTAGAAGTTCAGAAAAAATCTTTCTAAGAGATAGAAAAAATTAAAGAAGTAAAGAAATTTCAGTAATCAATAGGCAAAAAAATGGTTCATAATGGAGTGTACCTGAATTGCTGCATAGGAGAAGTGTCCAAGATCTGCAAACATTGCTTCTGAGCCTGTAAACACCACAATATGATGACAACTTCTGGCATTGAAATAAACTCCACACATGTATAAATTTATGGAGAAATACTGCTACTTTCAAACTCCTGTGAAAAAATATCTAAATTTTATGTGAATCAGTATATCCTTGTCATTGAACTACACACTAGGTGAAGCCATATAAAATGGGATATTATGTCTTTAATGATTTGAACGACCGATATTATTATGCCTCCAAAGCTCCAACATAAACTATTTGACTGGCACAAAGAAATCTTCGGTCTAGCGGATTTATCACTTCATTCAAGGAATACCCTCTTCATCTAGGGCTAGTCGTGCAGTTGGTATATCTCAACCTCTGCAATTGTTTGTCTTCAAAAGAGTTCAACAAGGCTATGCATAAAATATTGCTTTATAAACCGATAAATTTGTTATAAGCAAATAGGGTCTGGCCATGGCAACCCACAGGTGCAACTAACACTTGTATATATCTTTATCCCCTAGTTCACACAGTTAAGGTTTCTTTTCTTTAAAGAGAACTTAGCATTGTATGCTGGACAACAAGCGGAAAAGCACATCTATGTCAATTGGAGCACATTAGTGACATTTGGTAACATTAGTGAGATGCAAAATTTGATATACATTTTTCATGCAGGACGGAGAATCATCAAACTTGAAAATTTTCCTTGTAAAAATTTTATGAGTTTACCAGTAATACACAAGAGAATTCCACCCAGCGACATCCATCCTCCTTTTCTCGTCTTCTTCAGAAACTTAAACATGTAATATGGGGAAAGCGCTTGATAAACATGCGGATTCCAGTGGAAAATATTGTACAAGCCAAGGGTACTGATGCATAGCAACCAAATCAATACTACTGGTGCAAAACAGGAACCAATCCGATGTGTGCCATAGTGTTGCAAAGCGAACAGGCACACTAAGATGAAGCAAGTGATTGGAATCACTGCATCTGTAAATGGGGAATAGAAACAAATGTAAGTCACTAGTCCTCATTATTTCTTTGGATGGCCAACTTGGCCATCATAGTTGTGCATAAAAACTTGTTTACTGATCTAAAAATGAATTGTGGAAGAAAAAGATCTAGAATAGCAATATCTTCCAAGTAATGCCGTGAAGAAAATAAAAAAGGCCTAATGGCAAATTACACTAGATTTCCAAAATCAAATTTGGTATTAGATGATTCTAGATTCAATCTTAAAAAGGAAAACTACCCCTAATTTTTACTGAAAATAACAAAAACAGGAAATCTTTCCAATATACCCATTTGAACAAAATTTTCACTTGAAAATATTGTATAAACCTCAGATGATAAGAAAGAAGATTACATTGGTGGTGATCCTTAGACATCGACAATTCAAGCCCAGAAACCGCAGAAAAAACTGCACAAAGGAAATCTTAATTGTCAGCAACTAAGCCCGGAACTTGATTATCAAAATGAAGCATGCACAATCGATGTAGAGCGAGCTACCTACCAGATATTGCTGGAGTCAGGAGTCCATCTCCAATGACCATACAAGTGCCAAGAAGAACCAGAATTAATAAAGCAGTGTGTAATGATTTATACTTTTCAAGCACTAATTTAACTCTCGAGTAGTTCTTTGTCTCAGGAGGCTGCTCAAGTATGTACGTTGAGAGAGCCGCATCGGCCACTTGTCCATTTGGAAGAAGGCTAACTTTAGCATGCCTGCATATCAGGGAATATAGAGCAAAAGTACCACCTACAACAATGCATAAGAAATGTCAATTGCATGAATGAATTGTGGTAATATGTGCAATCAATTTTCAGATACTTACCCTCTCCATTATCATCGGCACGAAGAACTACGAAAACATATTTGAACAGAGGTACGAGAGTTAGGGTCCAGAAAACGAACGATAGAACTCCGAATATCTCTTCGTTCGTTTCCGAGTGATGAATGTCTTCTGCAAATGTGCTCTTGTACACGTAAAGAGGGGAAATGCTCAGGTCCCCATATACCACACCAAGGCTCTGATAAGCTAATAGCAGAGTGCTCTTCCAAGAGTCTTTCTGAAAAATTAAGGAACACTAGTCTAAGAATATATCCTAGAATTAAAATTTTAACACGATGCCATCACCAAACAGTATACAGAAGAATCACTGTATTACATAGGATTGAACAGTACAAGAAAAGATTTAATTCTTTCTTTGCTTGATACTTCAAATCCTGTCTAATATCATGTGCCAAACATGCCCTAACCGCATAAAAAGCTGAGATAAAGCAAGGAAATGTGAAAGAACTCACCGTTGAAGCGCCCCAGCACTTTCCATAGTCAAGATACATGGTTCTTGAATGCAATCTTTGCCTTAAATTGTCAATAATCACCGAAATTTAAGCGCAGATCCCTACAGAAACAGCTCCAAAACTGACGACAAAGGTGCAGAGGAACGGAACTAGCACATATAAAGATGAAGTTATATTATGCGAAAACACCTAACAGCCACCGACTAATACCTCTGATTTCCAACTGGAAATAAATAAAAACAAGCAAATTTTTGCCCACTTTGCGCATTTCAGTACACTGATATTTCTTTGCACAATGCAAGAACCAACAACTCTAATTCCTCCCTATCAAATTCACTAAATAAATGTGAATGCCAAATAAATTAAAGCTCATCCATTTGCTGCAGTTCTTTCTTTTTTTTTGGTTGACAGTGAGAGTTAAGCATATGATGCCACACTCTGTGTTTTCCCTAAATTAAGGAAGAAAAGAACAACACGAAATGTATAAAGCAATTTAGATAAAGATAGGTTAAAAACTTTAAATCTAGAGAAATTCTTACAGTTTCCACATTTTCACACAGTTTACTACAAAAAAGGTGATGTAAAAAATGTGAAAAACACACATTAATGGTGTAAAGTGAGAGAATGTACAAAGGTTGTGGGCAAGAAAACCCAAATCACATGATTCAACTACAGCAGAATTATCAAATCAGTCTCACCAACCTGTGCCCACTGGAATAAAAGAGATTTTAGGACCATCAACGCCTCCTCCTTTATACACACTACTAATTTTTTTATAATATTAATGCTTTACCAGATGACTGATATGCCAAATTCCCACCAACTTGAAGGGATAGTACTGAAAAACTACTTTTAATTTTGTGGGTAGCCCACATTCTTGAAAGTTAATGGGCGAAGAAAAAGTGGTCTTTGAACTCAAGGTAAAAGAACGTCAGTCCACTTTTTAACTCAAGTTAAGTAATGCTATCAGTTTCACCAAATTCCAAATATGCAGGTAAAATTTTAATTTAAGTAAAGTAAATTGAATTAAATTAAAACCCAAAGGCCATCATTTTTGACAAATATATGATCAACTAAAGTTACCTCACGAAAAGGAAAAAATTGGAACAATTAAAGTGAAAGCTTTGATCACTTAAAATTTCCTTTTCCTGGAAATAAATCTGAGAGAAGAAAAACAAAAAAGTGAGATTTTTTTCAATTGATTGTAGGGTATTTCAGAAAAATATCTTCGTCACAGGCAACACCACGTGACTTCGACATGCATCCCTTGCCCACACCCTCTCTGTACAACTTTTGTACAGTCCACTGCTCGACAACTCTTACTATCTCTGGCTTCAGTTTTCTTATACAATAAGGAATGTCTCCCTCACAAAGTTTTAGGGACGGGGCGGTGAGAACCCTCAAAATTGGAGTTCAACCTTTACAATAAAGCTTCTTATACAGTATGGTATTGTACAAGCCTTCTCACAATTTGAGGGAGTCCACGTGAATTTAATGATTGTGGCCCTTTTTACTGTGAAAGGGGTGTAAGGACTGTACAGTAAGCACTACGGTTTCTTATATGCATCAGCAACATCTTTTACGTAGCTTAAAAGTTACTTTTTCTAACTACTTTCGCCACCTCGCTTGCCACATCTTTGTCGTCAATTTCAATTCAGAACGTCTTATTAAGTCGTCCTTTTCATGTCATGTCTGATTCTTCTGGTGAGTATATTTTTCCATTTTTGTTTCTTTATGTGATCTTTGACATATGCTAGAAAACTAGCCTTTGATGAAATGATTCTTTGATTATGAAAATAGAATCGAGTTAAGGGAACATAATGATTGATATTGGGGATGATTGAATACAGATACCTCGGAAGTCGGACATTATTTAATTCACGTCGGACCCTTGCACTTTGTGAGGGTAGATCACTTTGAATGTCAAGTATTTTCGGTTAAAGTGGCATTTTCTATGAAAATATTTAATCAATTATTCTGTCAAACTGGTTTGTGCTTAATGATTTGATGGGATGGGATGGGACTGAACCATTAAAAGCTAATATATGCACTAACAATTGTTAGTTGAATCCCTCCATGTGCAATATATTTGCTGTGAATTTAAAATATTTTTTCAAAAATTGTTAGAGATTAATAAACAAGGTAAATTTATTGATTTCGGAATTAATTATTTTTATTTTACATATAAATAAGCAAAACACAAGTTCAAAGTGTCTTCCCATAAGCAATTCCATTAAAAGCACTTGAAATTTCTCAATGTTTTCTCTTGCTTACCTTAATTTTGAATTAATAGGATGCTAAGTATATACATTAAAAAAATGATTTTGACTTAAGAAAAATATTAAACTTTCCAAATAAATTTGAATAATAAATCATCTCATGCTCAAACATATTCAATCTTTAATATTAGCAGTAGCCGTGTCAATTGAGTTGTCCGATAACAATATCAAAAAAAGATGAGTTCACTTTTGACGATATATCTCATATTCTCTACAATTGAATTCTGATTATCTAACTCAATTCCTTCAAATTACTTAAAAGTCGTATTCGGTGGAGTTTTTAGCTATGAATAGAATAATGACCAAATTTTCGATCATTATGCTGAACGAGAAGTACAAAATACAAAAATTGACATTGGAGCCCCAAAAAAATCTATTTTTTAATTAATGCTATAAAAAGAAATGAGGGGCATGCCCGGGCTGCCCTCTGACTATTTGCTTCTTCTTCTTCTTCTTCTTCTTTTTTCTTTTTTTTTTAATGTATTAATTCAGTATTAAAAAAATAAAAAAGTTATTCTCCCTAACTCTGCCCTTGAATACACATCAAATATGGAATAAAATTTCCTATAAATTGAAGAAAGACACCACTCACTCTATATCATGTTGTACTATAGAGCAATTAGAGAATTTCCAAAAAATTCTTTAAATATGATATGCTTTTCATTTTAAAAAGCCCTCTTTAAAATCATGTTTCAAGATATTCTTTAAATTAACATTTTAATTTAGGGCTCTATATAACTAAATGCATCCAAAATGTTTCAATTTTTAATGTAGAAAAATAATAAAATAATCAAGAGACAAACTGCTTAAAATAAAATATATAAAAAGAAACAATAGACATTTTTTTGGATTAGTAAAATTAAATGTTAAATATAAAGAACTTGTTAAAGGTATTTTAACGTTCTGAATTCTCTCCAAATAATAAAATATGCTCTTTCTACACCCTATATTTATGGCATTGGAGAATTTATTGGAGCAATTATTATTTGTAGAAATTTATATATGCATGTAAATGTTATCCTTATAGGGATATCCGTCCATTATTATCTTCTTGGGCTTCTCCTAATCTAACCATGCCACAAATTTTGAGAACTTGAATACAATCCACATACTACATTTATTACTTTCCCTTTGGCTAAGGGAACTTGAGCACGTGTTGCAATTTCTTGATTCGTCCAATTTGTTTGGAGGAAAATAATTTATACGTATTGCAATAAAATATGTTTTTATATTATCATGAAATTTTTAACTTTTAATAAAGATGGACCTTAGAGAAAATGAAAAGATTGTTCTTTTCTTTTACCAATAAATTTTCTTTTATTTCTAGCATAAAAATAATGACTAGTCTATATTGGGCAGAATTACTTCTAAACCTCGCCGATAAAAGAAAGATGTAAAAGAATTATAAATCCAAAAAGTAATCATTAGTTTAAAGATCCACGACATAAATCGAGTCATTGTATCTTATTCTTCCTTTCAGAATGATATCCACGCCATTTTTATTGCTAGATGACTCCATTCAAATAGTAGTATTCCTTAGGTTGTCATAGCCTCAAAGAATCAAGCCACATGGATAGTTGCTCGTACACCATGTTACCAATTGTAAAATCACGTTGGATAGAGCTTACCCTTAAAACGGATTAGCAAAAAGTGACAAAGACACAATTTAAATGTATAAACACGATACTATCTAACAGCTAAAACTTTTAATGAGATTGTTAACTTCGTATAATGCACGCTCAGTTGGTGATTATGTTATAATCAATTCTTGTCAAATGCATTTTTTGTCCATACATTTCATAGAACTTGCTCCTAATATTCTCTTGTTATCCACACATTCCGTATGGTAAAATCTAGCTATGTAGAAAATTAACTCAATCTTCATGTAAGCGAACATGATGACGACACAACTTAAATGGCTAATTGTGACAATCACTAACCCCTCAAGCTTTTAACTAAGACCGTTTACAAAAATAAGATATTCAATGTGTTATTGAGCATTAGCTTAATCACGTAAAACACAATTAAAATTATCAAGGTACATGACTATAATTTACCCAACTAGATGAGGTCAAACTAATGGAGCATCTTTTGAGAAAAAAACAATGGACCACAAACAAGAAAGAAATAGATTTATTCGTTGTTCAAAGATTCTGGTTTTGGAGGCAGTTCTAGTTTGTTTGAGTGTGGACTTGGGAAACAAACCAACAACGGGAATCTCCCGCGTGGATATATAAATATAACTCCTCAAATTTGGAGCTAAGTAAGAATTAAACTACTTTATTCAAATTCTTTTGACATAATGATTGACATTCTCTTATATGTACGTGAGTCTCGCGTGAATAAAAAAGTCCAAAAAAGAAGTTGGCCCCCTTCCATTGTGTCGACCAACCATTATGTCAAAAAAAAAACAATGATAATAAAATAAAATAAAATCGTCAACATAACATGGTTGGCTAAATAAATGCCTGTGAGATAATGGGAAAGTGATTTAGGATTTGCTAGATGTAAATTTTCTGAAGAGATGTATTTACTAATATTAAGATCATCTTCAATTGTGGTGTAAATAAATCTAAGTTGTGATTTAAATCTCCAAAATGGTCAAAAGTCTCTCTAATGTAGAGACGTAAAGGAAATGGAAATTGCATTTTTTGGCGGAAAATGTAAAGGAAGATGTANGTTTCCAAAGGGAAAAAAATGAAAAAATTGCATAGAGAAAATTTCATGTCTAAGAAATTATGTATGACCATTTCAAAAATAAGAAACAAGGTTTAAAATTTTAGGAATCAAATATTAATTAAATTTCATTTATGAAATAATTAATTAAATATATATTTTATTAATTAAATATATTAATGTCATAATTATATTTTATTTGATCACAAATTATCGAATTAATTGATCAAAAATTATTTCTCGGTCATAATTATTAGTCACGATTCAATTTTTTAGATCACATATTATCAAATTAATTGAACACAAATTATATATTCGATCATAACTTAATAATTGTGAATCATAATCACATTTTTTAGGTCACAAATTAAACAATTTATTGATTATAATCAACCAAATAAATGGTCACCCATCCCACCACCCCAAACCACCTTCAACCACCACCAATAGCATCGCCCTGACCACACCAACACCACCACCACCACCATCGACATCACCACCACCATAGCTTTAACCACCACACCAACACCGCCAACACTATCACCGTTGCGGTAAGCTCCACACAGATCAATGAATAAAGCTGCTACGACACTATCAGCCCCGAAATCTCTTGCCACTTCATTAGCCTCAACCAACACTTCTGCTCAAACCACAAAACATTCACCATTGCACATCGCTAGCAAACAAAAAGAAGCCTTGTCG